GGCCTGCAGGCGCTGCTGCGCGAGCAGGAGGGCGCCTACTACCCGGTGCTGGAGCACTACAGCGGCGAGTCGGACGCCTCCAGCCCCCGCTCCAACTGCTCCGACGGCATGGTGAGTGCCCCCGCCGGCGGACAAAGTCCCCTTCTGCGCCTCCACCTCCGGCGGCCAAGGGCGGTGGGGTCCCCCCACGCCAGCGCCCCTGGAAGAGAAGGCAGAAGTCTCTCAGGCGCTCCTTCCTGGGGATGAGAAGTTGGGCAGGTTTCCCTGGGTCCCGGGGAAAGCTGCTGGGGGACCGCTCTGGGAAGGGCGCCAGGAGCGCCGAGAGGTGCGAGTCCTGCCCGCGCTCCCGGGGCATCTCCGTTTCCATCTCCTGTACCCTTAGCCCTGCGTCCCCTAGGGACAGCTGTGAGGGAGGTCCCCCCTGCCATGATAACTGCAGGGGAAAACTCACAGGGGAACTGCTAAGTCTGGGTTTTCTTTTCTGACATTAGTCCTGATAAGAGGAGCACGGTCTGAGCAACAGGAGTTGCTTTTCTTGACCGTTATGAAAAAGGTTCTCCCCCCTCAAGACATTTACCAGCAACAGGAAGGAGACCCCAGGCTTTCACCTCTGTTTGTGCATTATGGGGAGAGGGGAGAAGAAGAGCGAGTGCCAGAGAGGGTGTCTCGTCACCTAATTTCTTTCTTGGGACTATAGTTTTAGACTCCGTGGCCTGACTCGAGGATGGTGGGATGTGGTGACTGGAGTACAGGATAGCTGAGATGAGAACCACAAGAGCACTTTTAAGACTTCCTGAGTTGGCTATGTTCTCTGGTGGGGATAATTATTACTGAGCTGAATATCTGGGATTGTGAGATAGCTGGCAGATCGGGGAGAAAATTTACACAACTGATCCCTCCTCAAAATACAGCCTTTTTTCTCCTCTCGGTAAGAGCCATGTAACTGTGGGTGGAAGTACCAGAAACAAAAATACTGGTCAGAATGCTTGCTTTTTTTTCTCTATACAAAGTAATAGTGGGGAGAGAAACCAAAGGAAATAAAAAGGCACAAAGGTGGACTAGTGGGTTTTTTAAAGGAATTCATGCTTGGAAAAGTCTTCAGAAATTAAACTGAAAAAAGACTTTTCCCCCCTTGGTCTCCCTGCTGCAATTCGAAGGGCAACCTCTGATTAGAACGCTGGAAGACTTCACTTCATTTGAAAAGCTACAGCATTAGTACATTAGTTACAACAATGGTAATTTTCCTTTAAAATAACTATGCCACATAATACATTCTGGGGGGAATTTCTTCCTAGCAAAGTTAAGCTCTGCCTCATTCAAAAAAACTAAAACTTGGTGGTGTTTCAGCCAGGACTAGAGAGCTATGGCACAGACTAGGGTCTGAAGTGTGAAGTTAAATAGTTACTGGGGAGGAAATATTTGAGGAAAATGCTGTCCCCCCACTGGTGATCTCACGCAGATTTCTCTCCTTTCCAGATGGAATACAGTGGGCCTCCTTGCAACTCCCGCAGAAGAAACAGCTACGACAACAGCTACTACACGGAATCACCAAATGGTGAGTATTTGCAGTAACGGCAACGTGAAACATAGGGGTAGAGACGGTCAGCGCAGCAGACTTGCCTGTGCCTTCTCTGTCCCCGGTTGTTTAGCAGACTCCGGCTGGGCTTTTCAGCCAGCGAGCTGTCGATGCTAGTACATGTATAGCATTTCCCTCTAGATGCCTTTGCAAATATGGGAATATAGTATAGTGGCATTTCCTACTTTGCAAACATAGTGTCTGGATAAAAACATATTGGAATATATTCCAACAGTTTTCAGAGTTTAACTACATTTTGCATAAGGATTGTTCCAACCGGATATCACTGATCCAAACCATGGAGAAATTGCCAATTGAATTCAAATCTTCCATTCCCTTTCTATGGACTGAAGTGAAGCCCTGCACCCATCCTCTTGAAAAGTATCATACCTCAGTTGGGCCTTTTTTCCCATTCTGCAAATTATAGTCTCTGTTTTCTGATAACTGGCATCTTTCACCAATATTCCTTTCCTCAATCTTAATATGCTCACAGATATGCCCTGTCAGCCACTGGTTGGGGTTCTCTGAAAAAACTACAGCCTACTGACATTAAATACCCATTGACTAAATTGATCACCTCTTCTGTCTGTCTTTAGATCCAAAGCATGGGAAGAGTTCTGTTGTTTCTAGCCTTGATTGCCTCTCAAGCATTGTGGAGAGGATTTCCACAGATAACTCCACATGTCCAGTCCTGCCCGCAGTGGAAAGCGTTGCTGAAGGGAGTCCCTGTTCCCCCTCCGAAGGAGCCAACCTGAATGAGAGTGGAGTCCAAATTCCTTCCCCCACCAACTGCACCCCGCTTCCCCAGGATAACAGCAGCAACCCTATCTACCAAGTGCTATAAAGGCAAGTCCAGCTGGACTGCAGTGAAAACAAACTGTTACATGCAGTAAAGCTCCAAGACCTGCCTTGTAAGACTGAAAAGACTTCTCAAGACTTCTTGTTCCAGTCCTAAAATCTCTCAAAATTCCTTCAAGTACATAACTCTTCAAACCTGTATTACTTCAAAATACATCTAGTTATTTATTGGTTGTTAAACTCAAGTTATTTAATGTGTCTGGAGATAAAATTGCATACCATGAAATGGCCAACATTTAATCTGGGCTTTTGAGGAATAGGAACCTCGCTGTTGAAAGCAGGGGAGAAAAGAAAGCTACAAGTCTCTGGAGTAAAGGCATGACACATGCTTTCTATTACCCCTGTTCTGGCCAAAATAAGGTTGTGGACCACTTTTATAAAACTTTTTGTATAATTGTAAATAAGAGTTGCTTTGCAAAAAAAAAAAAAAGAAAAAAGTTAAAAAAAAATAAAAATATTTAATGTTGCTTGGTTTGTCGTGCAAAACTTTAACTTTATATATTTATACCATGTGGTTGCCAAGAATGTTTTCAACAGTATTCTAAATAAAGACCCTTATTTATAAAATCCATGGAGTTATCTTGACTTTCATTAGAGCTTCTAGAATTACTTGCGCGTTTAGGAGTGGTGCTAAGATCGCTGCCTTGGCAGGAAGAAGGTACAGGCTCTGATTCAGCAAAGAATCAAGCCCATGCTTCAGTTGTGCTACTTTCCATTTCTTTGCATAAATACTTTGCTGAAAAAGGGTGTATTTTCTTTATATCGTATTTTGGTACCCTTTCTGAACTGAATGTTAAACATCTGAGGGCATTATTACGTAGCTCTGCATGGTAAATAAGCAGGTTCTTCTTGCCCCTCAAAGGTTATGAATACATTGTAGGACTTGAGCTCTTAAGACTATACACGAACTAGGAATCATAGTAAATGAGAATCTCCAAATTCCTCGCAGCTACACACTCTTACAAGATCAGATACTGCACTCTTATATGTAAGTCCATATTTTCCATTCAAGATCTAATTTTCAAGTGGATGTACCATGTTCATACATTCTCAGGTAACTGAAAATAATTACATGGGATTTTGTGTCATAAAGTTCAAGGTATAGATCTCAGTTTTCCTAAAGTTCAGATTGGAACTTAGGCCAAAGATAGGAAGCTTTAATTTGGATTTGAACTTTCCCCATCTCTGGCAACACTACTCCAGGGATTTGCTTCTTGTTTGGAGCCTTTCTAAAAATAACCAGGGGGCTATGTTTCATTCAGTGTATATATACGTGTAACCTTGCAAGCTTGCCATGAAATTGAAAAATGTTAAGCCCTGAACAGATTGTCATTGATAAGTAACCATGAGGGCCTATCTGCACATTTGGACAAGAATAACTAGCAGCTACAGCCCGGTATGAAACAACCCATTGCTTTCACGTCACTGTGATTTATGGCTTTTGTTTAAACATCACAGTAAAAAAAAAAAAAAAAAAACATCATCAGCTCTAAATACGTTGGTGACAGATCAGTCGTTATATTCTCTCCTAGCTGATTATTAAAGAGGGCATTTCTGCTACTCTTACCTCTTAAGCAGGAAAAAAAGAAAGAGGGAACAGCTAATTCCATGGGAATGTCTTCCACTCCTTCAGACTTGGATCAGCGCTCCCCGGAGAGGCACGAGCGGCCTTGTGTTGGACAGAGCAACGCGGTTGCTTCTCCGCAGTCCAGCGGTAACGGCGTGCCGGGAGCTTGCTGCTTTCCCTGAGGTCGGAGCGGCAGGAAGGCAGCAGCCGGGGGGGTTCCTCCCTCGTCGCGGGCGTTTGGGACCGCTGCCAACACCGAATCTGTGCGGAGGCGCAGGCCCGGCGCCCACACATCGGAGGGGTTTCTGGGGCAGGGGCTGCCCCTCAGCGCCTGCATCGAAGTCAGGTGCTGTAAAGGGATTCTCTCAGGGGTCTCCTGCAGGTTTCACTGTGGGCAGAAACACAGTCCAGGCAACACAGGTTGAGTTACCCCTTCAATTTTTCAGTTAAAAGTAAAAATTAAATGAACTCAAGAGTGTGCCAATTCATTCTAGTGTGAATCAGGAGCATCTCTACTAAGGTCAGAAAAATGCCCGCATTAGTTTGACTGAGTCAAATCACTGACTTCCAAAAACTAAATACAGACTGTTGGAGCCTCGCAAGTCAACGCCCTCACAAATTAACAACAAAGTTTTCATTGCCTCCAGCAAAAACTTAATCGGGCCCCAATGCAAAAGATGCTTTTGTGAAATACTGTACACTTTTCTCTCTGCATACGCACAGGTGGCACAAAGCTTGCGCCTGACTCACTAGAGCACCCCACTTCTGCAGGACACGACGAAGTCCCTTGCCGGAAGGCTGGCACAGCACCGTGGGCGCTCGGGGCGTTTGCGCTCAACAATGTACATGCAGTTCCTCGTGAAGTCATGTATATTGCATTTCACTGATTTATTTTAGCAACCCAAGTTTCCACATACTGATGTTAATGTTACAACAGAGAACAAGCATTTAGCACATCCCAGAATAGATGGGTGGATAAAGAAGAAGAAAATATTCATACATTTACTATGCAGAACCCATCTTTTTCCCGTTGAGGTCAGTGAGAAAAATCCACTGGAGCAAGGCCAAAGGGCATCAGTGCCGAGAAATACACGGTTAGATTACGGCTACACTTATTTTTAAACTTAAATAAGGAAAACGTGTGCCCTTCCATGTGCAATTTCTTGCTGTCTATTTCTAAGGTAATCTATTAAAAACAAATGGCTGAAGTTACTATACTCCCCTGTGCACCATGAGGACGGCACGTTACTGACAGAAGGACATCCCAGTCCGTCTGGATTGCAAATGCTTCAGAGCCAGAGATGTTTGGATTCAGAGCTGCAGTTCAGACGGTAACAAGAGAGCAAAAGCAGAGCTGAGGAACAGATACAAGACTGGCCCAACATTTACCAACTCGGCTCTTAAAATCGGCTCCTAAAGCTGTATTTAGGCATCGAGGGCTGACCCTACGAGACAAAGAGCAGTCGAGCTGGGGCCAGTGAAACAGCGCAGCTAGTGCTCCACGCACCCATAGCTTGAAATCACCAAATCACACACACAGCCTCAGGTTCAATATTCAAATAATTTAGCAGGATGGGGCACATGAAGAAACGCTGATTTAAAAAAAATCGGAATCCCGCACGTGGCACTGACAGGCAGAGCGGGGCAGAAGCTGGGCACCACGGCACACCAGCCGCTCGTGGACCCAAGCTGCTTCGCTAAGGCAGGAAAGAGCCTCTAACTAAACGCACGTTTGAGGCTTTCTGCAAGGGATTTTACAACTGTCTGATACTTCCCATGGAACGTTACTTCCATATGGAAAGGCATATAACTACGAATAATTAGAGGAAAGTAGCTATCTTTGAGCATAAAGATAAATGTGTAGCTTAGGCACGTTTGATTTGGTTTGGTAACTTAAGAGCGCCACACAGAAGCTGCGTGACACAGCCCGTATTATCAATTTATCTTATTCAAAATGGTGCTAGAGATGAAGTGGAACGGAATAGATCTTTTCTTCATTTATACATGTTAAGCGCTTTGATTTTGAAGTTTTGTCATGCCATTGACAAATACGAATGAGAATGAAGTGGATTCTTTTTCTATTTTCAATATTTTACAACAAATAGAAGTGCAATAAAATTGTTTTTTGAAAATAACAACGTTGAACACCAACAACTATCACTGCTGTACACCAACAACATTATCATTATCACCTCCAACATTACTGAAGCTGCTACAAACATTTTCCACATACCGAAAATCAGATGTTAGGTAAAAGAAAAATATAAACTATTCCTAGTATATTTTTTCTTTTTAAAATATTTTATCACCTGTCTCCAGAAAGAGTAAGTTTGCAGCTGCTTTGTACCAGATGCTGCTCTTCTACAACCACTTGTCATTTTAAACACAAGTTACAGACTTTACAAAAGCTGCGGAAGGTGGAAGGAAAAACAGAATTAGTGCTATTTCTATAAGGAGAAAATAAGAAGCACACTACATTTTGCAAAGAGGGTCAAACAGTGCAAACCTGCTCATTTTACTCATAAAAGTGGTACTATCCCCTCCAGAAGAACTACATTCACAAGTTAACAGGCAAACGCTAATGCCTAATGCTTCTCAGCTAGCCCTCCCGGAATCTCTCAAATCACTTAATTTTCAGTAGATCTGCTGCAAAATCATGACTTTCTTTCCCAGCTCCGTGCAGCATCCTGCCTTCTCGAAGGAGCGCACCAGGGAACGTCACCGAGGAGCCCACTGGGTCTCCTTGCAGCATCTGAGATTTCCGGGCTGACGCGGGAGCGAGCAGCCCCTAGTGTAACGCAGCAGCCTCCAGGCAGTCCTGTCTCACCCCGGGCCCACGGGAACGAGCTCTGGCTCCGGACACCCAGAAGTTCCCTTGTGGGGCAGGACGCAGGGGCTGGGCACCTACTTTTGCCTGCACAGACGCCTCTGAATAAAGGCCTCGACGCTGTAAGCTCAGTAGCGAGAACTGACCTGTCCCGTAGCCACAGCATCACTCAGGGTTTTCCCAGGAATACACTCAGTATGGCACTTAACTCACCTTTTCTTTCTAAAAGGTCAATATCACTTTTATTTTCTATATGGGTCTCTTAACCATATCAAGAAGCATGCTGTTTTATAATAGATTCGATGAATAATCCCAGCGCTGCTGACATATAGCATCAACAGGGAGGCAAATCCCCGATCTGCAGTGAGGCGTGCTACTGTTTGTAAAAAATGTATTAAAAACTCTGGCGGCCAATAACTCACTTCATCAGAAAATGTTGGAGTCCAGTTCATTCGGGGTCCTGGGTCTCGGCATCCCCATCTACTGTCGTGAGGGCACAGCCGTGAAACAGAAAGCGGGGCGCTACATCCGGAGACGCTGGATAAAAGCCTGGTCCGACCGAGGTTGTGCAAAACACATTTCACAGAGGGCA